TACAGTACTGGATATTTCTTCCATATTTATTATATTCAACCTCCTGAGTCCCTAATCTGCTTTGAGTGCCCAGTATTAAATTCCAGGAAAGTCTCCCCTTTCTTTTTGTTCAACCACCTTGCTGAGAAGCTGCCTTTCTTGGTTTCATGCCATGGAGCAGCCAGGAAAGTGACCTGCTCTATTCTGCCATCCTGGAACCTCCTAGAAAATGCTCTTACTAGGGCATATAAAATAGTCCAAATGATTTGGAAGTTGAGATTTCCTATGATACTAAACCAACAAAAAGAGAGAGGTTCCTGTACTGGCTAGGGGGATTGGTCTAGATTGCTACAGTGATATTGGGTTACTGCTACATAATGGGATCAACAAAGACTATGTCAGGAACCCAGGGGCTTCTCTGGGTTGCCTCGTAAGAACTTTTCCCCCCCTTGGTTCCAGGGATAGAATCCAGGGGCACTTAACCCACTGAGCCACATCCACAGTCCTTTTTATTTATTTATTTATTTTATTTTATTTTTGACAGGGTCTCTCTAAACTCTGAGGCTGGCTTTGAACTAGCAATCCTCCCACCTGAGCCTCCCAAGCCTCTGGGATTATAGGCATGCACCACCATACCCAGCAAGACTCTCATTTAATAGTAAAGTTAATAAGCAAGCCAACTCCTAAGAACACAGCCTCTTCAGAATGAAGATTCGGCTACTCTACAAGGTAAGAAACCCTGACAACTGAAGTGCAGGCCAGAGCAAAGAAAAATCAAAAAGAAGAATTTATAAATACCAAGTAGTTTCATGACCAACTAGAGAAAAAAAAAAGTAACAAGGTAACTATCCAGATTTGCTGCATTGCTTTTTCTATGTCTTTGTATATAGTAACTATTTTTTTCAACCCCCTGTCCCCTATCACATTATATAAGGAGTGTAGGTGGTTGTTGAATATATTAACAGGTTATAGACTATCCAGGTGGGACTGTGAGTAAACTATAATTAATGCTAATAAAATTAACAGTAATTGGTATAAATTTTGTTTCTCCCTTTTTGAGGGAGAAGGTGAGAATTTCTTCTTTGCACAAAAGAGGAGGCAGGCATGGTGGTGCATGCTTATAATCCCAGAGCATTATTAGGAAGGCTAAGGAAGAAGGATCACAAATTCAAGGTAAGCCTGGGAAATACAGCAAGACCCTGTCTCAAAAAACACATGTATAATAAAAAAGGGACTAAATAATGATAGAAGCACAAACCGTTATTGATAAATAGAAATTTAAATACGTGTAGAAGAGTGTGTAGATGCTTGATAGCTAAAAAGGAGGGTTGTGCTGGTTACTTGCTATGGGTATGGGCTGGTGAGATGAGCTGGGAGCTGGGTTCAAAGGAGCTGGCTGTATAATTAACTAAGAAAATGGCGGGGGAAAAAACCCCACACAGCACACGAACATGAGTTTCTAAGATCGAGGGCAGGATGGCTCTGCGACCTTAACAGTCAGCTCCATGCTGGGTAGCGCTGGAAAGGGAACAAGATAGAGAACACACTGGGAACCCCTGTATCTATTAGGGAAAAGACATTTGATAGACTATTCCACCCAAATAAGCAAAGGATAGGGTTTTGAAAGGTGGATTCTTGCTTTGTGATGTCTTGTGGTCAGCAGATTGACATCTTGGCAAGTCACACCCATCTCAGGTGCTGTGTGGGATCACAGGCAGAATGAGAGGAAAGGCACATTTACATCGCACAGCCCAATCAATGCACAACACCAAACCAGTCCTCTCATATCATTCAAATGCACATAGCTCACACACACAGTCCAAGGTGGCTCGCGACACCCTCCCACCCGCCTTCACACACAAACACATGCACACATCCATCCTCCTACAGCTGTCTTCCTGAGGTTGGGTTTCTAAAAACTATATTTCCCAGACCTTGTTGCTATAGTGGAAATAGGGCTATCATTCCAAATTTCAACAGAGCAGGGGGAGAACCTATTGAGAAGTTTAGCTCTGGTCCAAGCAGCATGTGAGCAAATCTATAACCAGTTAAAATGCTCTTCAGCAGTGCAACAGAGGGCACAGGCCTTAGTAGTTTCTGAACTCTTAAGTGTACCACCCACTTCTTTCTTCTCTAATCCAGCCCCACCTTCCCATTAGCTCTTCTAGCATCTCTCATCTGTAATCCATGTCTATTTTTAAAACACTGTTTAAAGTACCTAGACTGGTTTCTGATTTCTTAACTGGATCTTAACTGATTAACCATTGTTTGAATGCTTGCATTTTTCAGTCCTATAATTTTGTTTTGTTCTTTGGTTTTATTCATATATACCATGTAATCTTTAATAATTTCAAGCTTGGTTTATATGTTCTTGAACTTAAGCATAACTCTTTCATGATCTATATCTGGTGATCCCAGCTTACCAGACCTAGAGTTCCTGCAGGTCTATTTCTATTGCCTGTTGTTTCTGCTGTTTCTCCCTATCTTATTTCTTCGTGTATCCAATTACTTCAGTTTGTTGCACAATGAATTTAAAACTAATTCACTGATATAATATGAGGCATCTGATGATGTTTCTTCCTCCAAAGAAGATTCACTGGATTGGAGAGCTTTAGAATCAGGGGATTCCTTAATCAAAATTCAAGGTTTTAGATTTTCTTGACCTCACCAGAGTCCTCAAAACTTGGCTACAGTCTACAGTCTAGGACAAGTGGTTTGTTTACACTTCACCCTTACTCCTACAGAGTAATCCTTATAGGCTCCCAGCTCTTGGTCTCCCACCTCTTCTTTTCTCCAGGCCCCAAACTTTTACTCCCTCAAGCTTCAAGCTGACAAAAATTAACTCCACTGTAAGCTAAAAAAAAATAGTTACTATACACAAAGACATACAAAAAGGTAACTCTTCCAGAATAGCTAATGCATCCCAGGAAAAAATATCCCAAAGTGCTGGGTTTAATTCTCAGGGGATCCCTTTCCCTTCCCAAATTTGGCTTAACAATTCTTATTATATTCCTGACTTTGATACTTTTAAGAGGTTTTAAATTGTGTGTTTTAAATTTTGTTCTCAGTTTTCCTCAATGAGAAGCTGGTCTGCTCTTACCAAAGGAGAAAACCTAATTATCTCTTCATAAGTACTATAAACTGAGAGGACAGCAGCAGAGTTTGAGGCAAAAATATCAATGGAAATAATTAAGATTCTCTTCCTTTGACACTAAAATTAAAAAAATACCAAAGAGATTCCTATAATTTTTTGGTATATAACTTTAAATTTTCTTTTAATCAAAGGTCAATTTTAATGTATATAAACTAAACACTGTCAAAATTTAGTTTTCCATTCTGATATATCTTTATTTGTGACTGATATAAACGTCTAAAAGAGTAATAACAGCCAATACTTTTTACATAATTTTAGCAGTCAGAAATAAAATTAAGTTAGAGAAAGTCATTACTAACACTTGACCTCTTCCAACTCTTTTTTTTTAACTTTATGTATTTTTTTCATGTGGTGCTAAAGATGCCTCACACGTGCCAGACAAGTGCTCTACCACTGAGCCACAACCCCACACATGATCCAACTCTTCCAGAGTTAGATTTGAAGATAAAAGTTTGAAGAAGTACCATAAAGCATGTGACAGGAAGTCACTGAAGCAAAGAAGAATCAAGGTAAAATAGAGGACTAGAAGTTCTACTGTTATAAAATTCAAATCCCATCTTCTACTATTGCTACTGTTACAGCCTTGTGGTAATAATCTTCAATGTTATTACATTATGATCTGCCTCCATTCATCTCAGTCATATGGTGAATAATCTCAATGCTGTTCTTTTCCTTATTTTAATTTTCACTAAAACTACAATAAATGAAATTAAGGGGTTAAGCCTATCTTCTCAGTTTTGCATACAAGTAGGGTAAATTTACCTGATATATATGTTTTTCTCATGGAACAATCTATATTTGCCAGTTCTCCAAGGGAAAAAAATTATAAACACCTGGAAATAAATAAACTGAAAACACCCTCTTATTAATAGAACTCTATAAAATGACTAATAATTAGGCATAATTTGATAACAAAGGTGTCTGAAAATAAGAAAATCAGATTGAACCATCAAGGTCACAGAACTGTACTGTCAAGAAATATCACTCAGCATGCCATAATGTTTTCTCACTTCTCTCCCCTACTAGTTATGATTTTATGATGACATCACTGTACTTCATAGGTTGTAGCAAGAAGGATTTGCTTGGCCTTTCTTCCATGACTCAGCTTCTTAATTTAGAAGCCCAGGTGGCTTCATGCACACAAATATCCTTTCTCAGATGCAATGCCCTCTTTCCTTTTCATTATATATTTTAATACAAGCTTTTATTTTGTGTCTTTCTCCTTAAATCAGAAAAAGTATTTTTATCATGACTTAAAAGATATCATTACAAAAAATAGTATCTCCATATAATTTCTTCTATCCAGCAAGCCATGTTCATTTTGTGTGAGCATATTTCCCCATGTAAAACCAGAAGTTTTATTTTCCAAATAAGAATTTTAAGTTAAATCAATTCTCTAGGACCATAGCTAGCAAATACCATGCTATTCTAGGACCCCAAAAGAAAGCAACTGTACATCAGCTGTACATCAGGTTCTAGAGAACTTTGGTTTGTAATTTTTTTTTTTTTTTTGGTGCTGGGGATTGAACTCAGGGGCACTCAGCCACTGAGTCACATCCCCAGCCAAGTTTTACATTTTATTTAGAGACAGGGTTTCACTGAGTTGCTTACACCTCACCATTGCTGAGGGTGGCTTTGAACTCACAATTCTCCTGCCTTCAAATGCCAAACCACTGGGATTACAGGCGTGCACCACTGTACCCAGCTTTGGTTTGGATTTAAACAATAATTTATACAATTCCACACATATAAAAAAAAATCAGTGTTGTATTTTCTTAACACTCAAAGCTTCAGATATAATAAGCTGAATGGAGGAAATCGTGGTCAAATGTTAAGAATATAATCATGAAAATAAATCTCCTTTGTAAAAAATAATTTAATTACAAATTAGCCAGAAAATTGCATAGTTCCAAACAAACTTTCTATATAAAAACAAGGGCTTATTTACCACTACTTTTTTTTATTTATCTTTCAGTTTATGTTCCATCTACTGAACTGAGCCTTCCCTGGCAAAGATTAGAATATATAGGTTTTTTTATGTTTCATATTCCCTAAAACAGAACTGGCTTTTGTTTCTGAAATTACTACAATTTTGCTGTGAAGAGAAACTTTAAAATTGTTCTCTTACAACTATTTCAGTTAGCCACTCCCCAAATTTGATGCAAAAACAACAACAAAAAACACTTTACTTAAAAGATTCGTGTCGTTCATTTCATTTTACTAGTCCAAGTACAAATTCAGAGAAAATCTTCTTAAGTCCTGCGATTTCAAATTCCTTTTGTAACTCATCCAATGCTGAATACTCTTTGACTTCAAATGCCAGAAACCTGCATTATACAAGAGAAACTCATGAATATGCCTAGATTTGTCAGAGTATAATTATCGATTCAGTTGCTTTTCCATCTGCAATAGTACTAAATTATACCTTTTGTGTTCCGTCTGTACTTTTGTTTCAAACAGTACACTAATCATTTTCTCTTTGCATTTCTTTCCACTTGAGTCCACATCTACTTTGGAGGTTTTCTGAAGAATCAGGTACTCCTAAATGATAAATCAGTATGTTACATACATATCTTACTCTGAATCTCAAAATCCTAGCTTTAAAGGAGCCATAAACCTGCAGGTTTATTATCATGCTAAAAGAGTATGTTTTGAATCAAGCGGCAAGATAGCTACACGATGTTTTTACACACAGGGTAGAATAATGTTCTGTTGAATGCAGAAGTAAAGAGTAATGTAAACAAACTATTCAAATTTCAATCTAAACTGAACTGTCTACCAGCTCTGACTCTAGGCTGAGTATTTAAATTCTCTGTGCCTTAGTTAACCTCCTCCATAAAATAGGACTAATAACAGGATCTACCTCCTAGGGAAGCTGTGACAATTAAATCAGATAACACAAAGTGCTTATACCTGGCATATACTTAAGAGCACAAGTAACTGCTATTATTACTACTAATCCAGCATCCTAATGGAATATCAGACACACAGCACTTGCCATTCCAAATTGGTGGCATCTATAAACATACCTGCACATTCTCAATACTGGCAATAAAATTTTAACACAAAAATTCACATAGAATGACATTTTAGAGATAACTAAAAAAAATAGTAAAGTAACACTTCTCTGCATTAACAGAGTTCTAGTTGTATGAATAAATACTTGTTAATTAATGATTCAATCTGAGTAACATCTGTAAAATAGCTGCATTTATCCTAATATGTCTTAGCTGGCTTAAAGAATAATCAAAGCCTTTGGGGGAAATTTGAGCAAGGAACAGATTTGTATTCATTTCTGTCAATTTGTATTTCACCCAAAAGGATCAAAGTTTGTAAATATACTACAAATCACCTCAGAATATGATTTCCTGGTCAGGCCCCAATCCAGGATATATATTAAATTTAAATTATTGTTTTACTTAATATAATCCAGCAAAAATCTAGTTAACTAAATGCCAACGGACTTTTGTGATAACAGCCCATCTTGAAAAAAAGAAGTCATTATTCTGCAAGTCTTTAAGATTACAGGCTGTTCACGCTAAATCTGTTTTAAATAAATTCTACTATAATTACTCCTGATCATTGAAAGTATAAAACTATCTGAAAGTATAAAACTTACTAAGTGATTTGTAGCTCTTTTAAGATTTAAAATATAATAAGCAGTTTTCCTTGTCTGGTTCCTCATAAAACGGGTTAGAGGAGTTTAGAATAAGAACTTTAAAAATCTGAAGATGATGGTTTTGAAAGCAGCTGCTGAGACGAGTCAGGTGGAAAGCAGAAGTGAGGTGGGAGGTGACAGGCTGACAGTCCTAATGATTCTACTTCTACCAACACTAAATCTTGGTTATAAGGGACAAGCCTCTCTTTCCAGGTATTACAGATACAAAATTAAAGTGTCAGAATGTATTTTTAACTGCCAGCAAGTTACAGTCTGCAGAATACCCACAAAATTACACTTTGCTGTGCATAACTATAGGAGGAAATATTAATATGCACAAACTTTTAGTGCACATTTATAAAGTTGAGGCCCATGGCTAATTATAAAAACAAACATATGTGCCACAGGAATTTTTTATAACCTGTCATTTTCATTAAGTGGCATGATTTTTAAAATATAATCTTAACTTATTCTTTTGAGCTCTGCAAGTTTGTAGTTGCCATTAAGAGTTAGACACTCCTAAAAAAAAGGAAAATGAAGATCCATTAATGTTGTAATAGAGAAAGCACAAGCATCTTAATGATTAATCTACCCCATTGTTATAAAACGCACTTAAAGACACACCATTTGAAACAGAAAATAATCAGATTCATGTTTAACATTTAACTTTTTGGCACCTTGATGTTGTTTCTTTCTCCTTGTAGTAAAATCAGTATTATTTTACCCAAGAACATCAATCTTCCTGTCAGACTTAAATCTGAAGCCCACTTCTCCACGGTTTTGATATATTTAGTCCTTGCTCTCATGTGATCTAAATGTAAAAGAGTAATCCACAGTCCATCATCCACAGTTGTACTCATTGAAAAAGTACACTTTTCACTGCCATTTCCAGTTTCTGGTTGATTGAGGATATGTCTGAGATTCTGCTGAATCCAAAGAACCAGTTCATGAACCATAGGTTCCGACAAAAGCTTCTCTGCTTGCTCAAGTAGTTTCTCTTGTATAGTCACACACTGGGCTCTGGTCAGATGTTTTGAGTTAATGGAGATACCAGGCAGACACAAAGGGTAACTGACCGGTAAATGGAACACCAACTCTAAGGATATATCCGCATTCAAAAGTCCTTCAGCTTTTGTGTGAATTCTGAAAATGGTTCCATCTGTCTCTGGAAGGCATCCAAGAATAATCATTAGCTGTGCATAACTGAATTTGAATGGAATACTAACAAGTTAAATTTTTGCTTCAAATGTTGATTTATTTTTCATGGGAAAACACTGAGCTATTTTCTTAAGAGACACATAATACTAAGAAAGTCATGATTTCCTCCAACCACACACATACACTCATGTATTCATGCATACCAGCACTCTGAACTTACCTGGAACTTATACAATCACCCATGTTTAATAAGTTACCAAAAAAGTTTTTTTGTAGTCAGGCCTAATTTATAATTCTGAAAATCACTAATAAACTCATGAACTTTCAAAGAAACAGTACCAAGTATATATAAAATCAGTAATTTAATACAAAGTTATATACTAAATCCACTGAAGGTCATTTTGTGGTCGAGTCACCCTGGAATCCTGTATGGTGTCAGGGATATAGAGAAACCAGTGACTATGTGTGACACTGTAGCTGCCTGGAACCACTCTTTTCTTATTTCATATGTATTAGAAGCAGAATAACATGAAGGTAGCAAGATGAACTGAAATTGAGTGGGCATCAATTCAACCTCTTCTGGCTCCTGAAGAAGGGAGGGGGTAAGCACACATAGGATATGAGATAAAATATTCCGTTCTCTTTCAGATTTGCTCGGCTTCACCCCTCTGATATGTTCCACACCACTTCACCCCACTTTTCAAAAAGCTGATAAACGTCAGGCTGATTCATTTTGCAGGGGGCAGAAGCGCACAGATCAGAAGAGCAGAGAACAGAACAAGGTGCAAATGAATCTCTTTGAGGGGAACTTGCCTCTGTACCTACTTCTTTGTCCATATGCCCTTGTTTTATTCTTCTTCACAAGGGAAACAGTCAAATGTTTCTCATTTTCATACCTGGGTTGCTGCTTAACAGCCTCAACAACTGAAACCTGAATCTATCCCCATTTTAAAGAACCTAACAGAACATTAAAATTGCTTCCTAGCCATCTGATTCCATGTGTATAAAAGCTGTTGTTACAGACACTGATTCATATAGGACCAAGTACATCTGTTTCACAGAGTTTTTCTTTAATAGATGTCAGTACCAGCTGCAAAGAACGACTATTTTAGAACATCACCCAGAAACACAGGCAGTAACCATTATAAAGACCATATTCACAATTTAAATTTGTATGACATAAGTAAAATGAGTACTAAAGAAAAAATTTTCCTAAACCTAACAGGGTAAATTCCTCTAAAATCTATCATATTTCTCTAAACTCTTCTTTCTTTCATTGAGTTACTTACCTTTATATGCGTGTATGTGTGTGTGTATATACACTTTATTTAATAAAGTAGGCTCCCTACACATCAGTTAGATTAATACATTTTAGTATTGGAAATGGATGTTCTAAATAGACCTGCAAAAAAACATGACACTTAGGCTGAATAAACTCGAGGAACCATCTAGGGAGTCCACATTCTCTCTCAATAGGGAGATATAATTTCTGAAGATTTTCATTCATTCATCATTTAACAAAAATTCACTGAGCACCTATCAAGCTCCAGGCACCGTCCTGGTCTCCAAGGAAAAAATGATGGCCAAGACTCAGATCCTACCACAACCTAGTGCTTCAGAACATAAAAGAGTGTACCTATCCAAAGTGACCCTTCTGGACTCCTCTTCTACACCTAAAAAAGTCTCTACTTATAAAATACACATACACCTATAATTTATACACACATCATTGTGTGTGTGTGTGTGTGTGTGTGTGTGTGTGAATCAGGAGATAATTCTCCACTGTCTGTCATCTCCAAATGTCTTCTAAGCAAAAGGCATTGCTATCATTGCATAACAGCCTTGGAAACTAAAGAGTATTTCCCTCCTGATCAGAAGGCAGATTTGCTTAGTGACCAATACAACAAAGATTATGTAGTCTTTCAGGACAAAGGTTGGACAAAATTGTTAAAAATCCCTTTTAAGATTGGAGGATTTTTTAAAATTGATTTTTAACTGATAGATAAAAAATAATGAATTGTACATATTTATGGGGTAACATGTGATATTTGTGATTGGTGTACATATTGTGTATGTAATGTTTAAACCAGGGTAAACATCTATCTCCTCAAGAATGGAGACTTCCTAAGCAAAGATCCATGTGTGTACATGTTCACCTGAGCCCACCTCATATGACCCTGGACATGGGGACAAACCTCCATGCCACCTGCTGTGCAGTGAGCAATGCTAACTCCATGTGGGTCATTGCCTCCCTACCAGCTGAACCATGGCAGTGCGCTCCTGACCCAACTCTACAGATGTTGCTGCTTCTTACAAACTGTTTCACCACTACATAATGTATATTTTTTCCCCTCACCATCCCGCTCTCTCATTTTCACTTTTCTCCCTTCCACAAGAAACCTACTATCTCTAAGACACTGTTTCAATAATTGTCACTTCTTATGCTTGATGTTCCAATCATTGTCACTTCTTATGCTTGAATTTTCTAACCCTCCCTCTGTTTCCTTCCTCCTGCTTACAAAATAGTGATCTTTTCCTTGCTTCACACAAAAAAAGAAAAAATTCGATGCTACTAATTCCTTTAATCTACAGACCTTTCTCTATCCCTTCTTAGTCTTTGTAAAATATAATTCTCACCAATTGCATCCATTTTCCCACAAACCAGTCTTTCTATAACTACTTGCACTATGATTTCCAACATCACTTATCCCTGAAGCTCCATTCTTAAACATTACTGATGCCCTTCTAATTGCTACTGTGCATCAACTGGCCTGAGTTGCTCAAACCCTGTATATTCCTAAGGTCTGTCTTTAAGATTGGCCCATGGCTAGCCCTGAAGCCATGAATTCCCAGTCCTTGTAATATTCTGCCTGATCAGAGTTCTTTGTATATACCTGAGGCCTTAGGCCACTTGGTCCCAGTTTGATTAAATGGATTATGCTACTAATGTGATTTATGGTAACTCTTCTTGCTCTAGAGGCTGGAGTGTGAGTAGCTGAAGTCAGTCACACAGGAGCTACATGCCTACATGATTGAGCCCAGTAAAAACTATGGACATCAGGGCTCAAGGGAGCTTTTCTGGTTGGCAACATTTGTCATGTATTTCACATTATTACTTTGACAATTTCACATATCTGTGTGATTCCACTGGAAGAGGACACCTGGAAGCTTGCTTCTGGTTTATCTTGGGCTTCATTCCACTCACCTTTTCTCTATGCTGGTTTTAGTTTGTATCTTTTTGCGTAATAAACTGCAACCCTGAGTGAAACAGTATTTCTGAGTTCTGCAGGTCCTTCTTGCAAATCATGAAATCTGAAGGTGATCTGGGGACCCTGACATAGATACACTTTATAGCCTTTATTGTACTCTACCCTTCTGCAGGATCTGAACCTCTGTATTGCTCTTCTAAAACTCTGTCTTCCCTTACCTCCCAGACACCTCTACTCATGTCTTCACTGCTTTGTCTTCTTTTCCTAAATTCCTAAATGCACAGACATTCTGTAAAGCATAATTCCACAAAATGGTCTTTTTCCAGCTATCCAGGCTTGGAATCTTAAATTCACCATTAGTTCTTTTGCCCTGTTCCTTGTTTCATACTTAACATTTAACTGCCAAACTCTCATCACAAGTTCTTCCTAATTTCTCTCTCTCCATTTACATTACCACCCTCCTACTTCAGGCCTTTCTCTGGTTTCTGCAACACTGGTCTTCTCAACTCCTGCCTCACCCTACACAAAATTACCAGTCTGTACCAGTCTGACAAACAAATTTCAAATTCCTCCACCCAACACCAAGGGCCAGCCTGCCACTCTAAATTCCTCTCCTTACTTCTTACTTCAACTACCCATTTTATGCAATAATTTGAACATAGTCTCTGGCTTCCCAATCTTTCAAAAAGACCCCTTACTTTGTGGTCTACTAGAATCTTGTCAACCTCCACAGCACCTAACACTCACCATATGAGGTCCATGGTACTTTGAATTTGTCATGGTATTTGACCCTGATCATTGTGGTTGAACCAACTTAACATTTTCACCACCACTAAAATATCTCAGTTTTCTGTTTTAAACAATTACTATGGAGAAAAGGTGGTAATGAGGATTTTTAAATTTTTATAGTTAGTTATATGCTTGGAATTATGTTAGTAGCTTATAATCATGAATCTCACAGGTATAAAATCCTTGGTATCTGTGACAGGCTACATAACAGACCCAAAGATGTGTGCATTCTATTCCCCAGAACATGTGAATGTGTTACCTTAAAAGTAAAATGGTCTTTGAAGATGTGATTAAATTAAAGATCCTGAAATGGAGAATTACCATGGATTATTCACTTATGACCCTAAATGATCACAAGTGTCCTTATAATGGAAAAGTGGAGGAATATTTTATCACAGAAGAAGGCAATGCATGCACAGAAGCATGATACTATGCAGCAGGATTTGAAGGTGGATGAAGGGGCCATAAGCCAAGGGACACAAAGAACACAGCTCTAAAACCTGGGAAAGGTAGGGAAACAGATTCCCCTGCAACAATTTGATTTCAGCCCAGTGGAAATGATCTTGAATTCGTGACCAATTAATTTAATTTTAATTAAAAATGTAAATATATAAACTATTTTTGGTTATTTGTTACAGCAGTCATAGAAAATTAACATAATATCTGTGGCCTTCAAGGCAAGCTTTTCCCTTTTCTGAGCAAAATACAAAAGCCCAGAGTATTCTCCAACCTCTGCCATATAAATAAACACCTGTCCCTGCACAGTGCATGAACTGACAGTCCCAGACAGCCCAGGGAAACAGGCTTGAAAGGATATTGAGCCAACCATGTAAATCCTTACCAGTTTTAATTTTTCTGTTATTTTCTGGTCCTAGTCAGCAAAGATAATGGCAATGGGGGGAAAACCCTGACTTCATACAAATTATGGAACTATTATTTATAATGCATATGTTCAGAAGAAAAACAATTTTAATTCCTGTAGGAGTTGGAAAATTTTAACATTCTTCCAAATTGGTCTTCTTGGTTAATCTCTCCCCCACATACACACAGTAGCTGCAAAGTTAACCACACAACATGATGTTATCTCTATAAGAAAATGAAAATCCCAATAATACATTTCATTCTGCTTATATTTAATGTGGTAATAAAATTATATAATCTTTTAAAAACTCAATTTCTCCTAAAAAGCCTAGAATTATATATCTTACCCTTTCATTTCTCATCTGCCTTTGTTTATACAAGCAACTAAATGTGTTCCTTTTTCTCCTGAATTTTTCACATATCACATGCACTGTAGTCTTAATTTTTAAAAAGCGTTTCCTAATAAAAGAAAACAAGGTTGTCCCCTATTTGCTTTAAGATTATTAAAAGTTTAGGAATTGCTAAACACTCTTGGTTAACAGAAAACTAATTGTGCTCTACATCTAATGTTAATCTCTTCCCCTCCCTGGATCCCCAAAACTCATTATAACTCACAAATATTGTTCTCAATAAACATCTATACCCTAAAGAACTTATGCTTGCCCTACCAAACTAATTTTCACAAGTTCAAAGGTTATTTTCATCCATTCTCAAAACTCTACCCAAAGATATAGGTCTTGCCTTCTGGTTGAAGTTCATATAAATATCTGCTAGTTGTTTTTTATAAGTCACTCTGTCTTATAATAAATATATCAACTTTTTAACTAAAATACAAACTGAAATGTTTTAAACTTTAACCTTCCTTACAAATACATGAAAGAAATTATGCTCTAAACCAGAGAATTCCAAACTAGAGAAACAGAACTGAACCCTAATTCCACACTAAAGCTATTTTTAAGGTTTCTCTCTACTTCATAGGTGTATAACACACAGCAGAAACTCAATGAATACAGTCTAATCACAGAAGACACTTAAGAAAACGAGTTCTTCAGACTCATTTATAGCCCATTAAGAAATCATTTACATATCATATGTAGCTGATGTTTCCTATACTTGCTGTTGTTATATTATTGTTTGTTGTTGTTGTTTGCAATTTTTATATTACCTCAGAGTAAGACTTTGTGTAGAAAACCACTAAGAACTCTCCAGCACCTTCTCATTTCATGTGACAAGTTTTTCTTTCCTCTTACTACCAGGCAGCTAGTTACAAGTAGGCATACATAAATGACTGTCTTATGCTTCTGCTGGATTTCACATATGTTTAAAATATGATTACAAAAGACTAAAAAACTAAAAAGAAATGAAGGTAAAAGGGGCATCCCATTCTTTAGAAGTGAAGTTCAAGGCTGAATTGCTTTTACAGAGTGAGTTCAGTTCCGACAATCAGCAGGAAACAGCTGAGCAATTTTGAGAGGGGTCAGTAAGTGACAGTTATGATTCATTTTGCAAGACAGTTGAATCCAATTCGAACATTACCATTAACAAAATATAAAAATACACTCTGAAGCTATTGTGCAAATATTGGGTTTATGTACTTCCCATTTTACAACTTTATGATCTGTGAGATGGCTTTCAAAAATGCAACTCCTATATGTAATGAGCATTGACTATAGCAATATAATCTATGTGAACCCATCAGGAAAACGAAGATATATAACAATGCCACTTACCTATCTCAGGTGCCTGCGCACATGCATGCACACATACTCCCCTTCCTCACTGTTCTAAACATAGGTTGGATCCCATCCATGCCTTTTCTCTGAGTGCTTATTTGTGCCCTCTCTTTCTGAACAAGTGTTTCTTTGCTCCCCAAGAACAGTTTTCCTGACACAGCAGCCCCATCTCTACCAGGGATCATGAGGCCATGTGAAGGTTTATACACTGTGAAGCCTGGTGGTTATTTAACCAGTCTAAGCATGGTTCTCTTCTCTGCAAATAAGGCTAAGAGTGCTTCTCATCAAGTAAGATGCATTGAAACTATCAGAACGATAGTAGGTGGCCACATTAAACATGGTATCTGGGCTGTCTACACTGCACAGGGAGGGACAGAATCTCTCTGATTTGGCCTACTCATATCCCTCTCCCATAGCTAGGAGTGTGGCGTTGTTAGAACTCATGCCTCCTTACTATGGGCTTATGTAACCACTGTAGAGGCAAAAATGTAGATAGATCCTCTAAATTCTTAGCATAAATTAACCTAGCTAAACAGAATCCAATTATTCAGCCTCTTCAACCTTAAGCCTTAACAGCTGACCCCCTACAATGCTCTCCTGACCCCACTGACAACAGTTTATTTGTGGGAGGCCAGGAATTGATGGGATTCAGACTGTTACATCCTCCAACCCAAACTGACAAGTAGCACTGACAGCAGAGCCTGCTGCATGTTTACTGTAGTCTGTTAAAGAAGTACTTACCTTACCCTTACCTCCCAGTTATGAGCATCCAACATTCCTATTTCAACTACTGAATTGTTCCACCCTCCAATGAACCTTTCAAGCAACAAAATGTCCTAAGTTGTTACACTGAATTCTTTTATAATTCAATTACTTATTGATGCCAGAACACTGAATTAAATTAATTAGGAGGCATGGCTTCAAAGTCATGCTCAATTTAACAGCAGATAAAGGGTCCACAGTGTTCTCAGTACTAGGAAACTGTTTGCTTTCTTTAAGCACTTACTTTTGGGGGTTTTTCTCTGTCCTGCCAGCAGTGTTTAATGCTCAATGGATTCATACTGCAGACCACTACCACATATTTAAGGCATGATGGGACATCACAGGTTCATTTTTCAGATATTCCCACCTGAGCCATAATAAAGGAATTTGGAATAACTAATGATCTCTTCAAATAGCTGCCTCAGGCAGAAGTAATTATTAATAGAGGGAGATGAAGAATTAGAAATGCCACTCAATCAGAAGAGGGGTGACAAGACAACACTACAAGGGAATAAATCCATTCATATATGGATTTTAAAGAGTTGCTTCAAAAAGATGTAAGACAGATTTAGGAACTAAAAAGAAGGCAGCTCTAATAGTTTCATAGTATCTGGAATATAACAATGCTCCATGAATGTGTTACAGATGGGCAGATGCAAGAAGGAATAAATAGAAGGGAGCAAACTTCCACCCTGTGGATGAATAACACATCCCAGAAAAATGTAAAAACCATCTTAACCCTAGATTTGTCATATACTTGAGAAACATATTTTACCTGCTTAAAGGTCAACCAATTTATGGTCAAGAAGTCAATTTCAATAATTGTTACACTATAACATTAGAAGGATAGACCCTATGCACCTAAAACGGTACATATTTTAAAGTTAAATAAAAATTGACAATTATCTGCATCACCATACTTTCATGGAAATGGCAGGGTTTTTTGTGGTCTTTTTTTGTTTGTTTGTTTTGTTCTGTTTTTCTTACTTAATAGAAGCTAAGTCAGAAATGGAGTGAGTTTTGCTATTATTTAAAAAAAAAAAAACAGTAGGGCTGGGACTGCAGCTCAGTGGCAGAGTGCTTGCCTAGCATGTGTGAGGCACTGGGTTGGATCCCCAGCACCACATAAACATAAACGAATAAAATAAAGGCATTCTGTCCATCTACAACTACAAAAAAATATATATTTTTTTTAAGAATTTTTTTTAAAAAAGATTTGTAGACTGTAAGCTCCTATGGGGCAGAATGGTGCCCTGTTGATGTCTGCAAGGAGCAGGGAAATAAATGTGGGCTGAATGATTAAGGCACTCCCCAAAGCCTGTAACTAGCAACCACTTTCAGCTGACAAGAAAAAGTATGCGAAAAGCAACCAATTCAGAAATATAAGAATAAGGTTACAGGGGCTGGGGTTGTGGCTCAGTGGTGGAGCGCTCGCCTGACATGTATGAGGCACTGGGTTCCATCCTCAGCACCACATAAATGTAAAATAAAGATACTGTGTCCACCTAAAACTAAAAAATAAGTATTAAAAAAAAAAAAAAAGATAAGGTTAGGGCTTAGCACTGGGGAAATTCAAAAGTCATTCAACAAACATTTCTTGACTACCTACCATATGTTGGGTAACGTTCTAGCTGCTCTGAGGTTCAAGCTTACCAGACAGGGTCTCTGCTCTTGTTCAACTTATGACAACCAAATACCGACCTAGTGTTAAGCTGTGGTGAGTGCGGTATAATGCATAGGATTCATGAAGGAAATGGATTAAGGGAAACGAGGGAGCTGGATTTCGCGGAGTGGGGGGGGGCAAAACAGGCGTCTTTCTAAGAGGACAAGGACATGTGGACGGCCTGCCAGGAAGAGCGTGGGCAGCGCCCTCCAGGCTAGGCCCCAGCTGGAGGACGTCAGGAGGTCTGGATGCCCAGCGTGTGGGACACGACGCACGGGGGCGCCCGCAGCGGCGCGTCCCAAGGCTGCGCCACCCCATTCACGTTTTGGGGGGAGGTCGCCTCACACGCCAGCCTGCTCCCACACAACCGCAGTCGCCGGGTGCGTGTCACTCCATCCTTCCGATAACCCGGTTCCCAACTGAGGACCCGGGCGGGGTGCCCAGACCCCCGAGGGGGAAGGACAGGGCCGCGGCCCCAGTCTGAGGGCGCTCGTCCCTCGGGCGCAGGGGTAGTCACCTGAGCGGCTCAGCACCTCCCACTCATGGGGCCCGCAGTAAATCGCGGCCAGGGCCAGGAGCTCCTCCCGCACAGGATCTGCCATGTCCACGCGGCCTGCGAACTCGGTACCTCCCCTTCCGCCAACGCGGACTCGGTGGGGAGCAACGCGGCCGCGCGGCCACCTGGGGGCGCCCCGCCTCCGCAGCCGGCCGGGAAAGCTCCGCCCACAAGCCTCTGCCCCGGGACTCCCCAGGGCGGCTCGCCTCGGCTTTGGGGAGTTTTTCGGAGGCCAAGGTCCCACACCAGGGTTTCTGCCAGAGATGACTGCCCAGCCCACTTGATGCTTTCCTGGCCGACGAGCCCCAGGTCCTCTAGCTTTAGCCTCAGGCTCTGAACACACCATCCCTCTCTTTGAGCTGCTGAGATTGGGATGCACAGTGTCAAACATAACTTTGTAAAAAGAGAAAAGAAAACAAACTGGCAAGAAGAGGTTAGCCTTTTGCCCTAAGTGTCCGGCTCTTGAACCGTTTCAAAGATATAGTAGTGAACAAAACACATGAAATTCTACATTTTCCTGGAGCTGTTAGTGACCCAGGCAGTCTGGAAATCCCGGGAAAGGGCCAAGTTAGTGACAACCTCTAGGATGCCCAAATGACACTGGCAGTGAGACTCTGGACAAGGCCCAGTTTCTGGGACCTCTTTTGCTTAAAAGGTGCAGAAGGGGAGAACGGAACCTCCCCGCCTGGCACTTTATGGGGAACTATGCCCAAAGTTCTGGGAGCACAGTCGTAGTGTTTTCCTTTTGTCTTCTACCTTCAGAGAACAGTCCTGCTGAAAGGTCAGTGGGACTCCTTGGCCTTCAGAGGGATGATCCAAGCGTGTAAACACTAGCAAATGCTAGCTTTTCAGTGGTATTATTTTACAAGTAAAACAATATGGATCTTACCAATGCGACTCTTGGAGCTTAAAGATGAAATGGTCATCCTTGCATCCTGTATCTGAATTTTAAAATTCGAGCAATACCATTAGCATAGCTGAAATAACAGTACATTCTTTTTAAACTTTGATTTTAATGAACCAGGTTACAAGGCTCTTCTGTAGCAGTCCTGTCTCCGTGCATTTGTCTTATATTTTTGTGTTGTTGTTGTTGTTGTTTCAAGTAACAGTTTAAGATTTTGCAGCCCCTCAAAACAGCTGGACTTGCTCAAAGAGGGCCCACGACTTTTGTTTGTATCAGAAATAACATTTTATGAGATAAATGGGAACCTAGGTGACTGCATAGCGACTACTGCAGCTACTATTGACCAAGAGAAGTCAACATAAATTCGCTTTACTCTAAGACTCAGAATCGATATTTCCATCATCATTATTATCGTCGTCGTCATCATCATCATCATCATCATCTTTGCTAAAAAAGGGATTTGAAAAAGTAAAGATAGAGCTTTTCAAGAACAGGAAGGAAATCTAACAAAAAGGGAAATGTTTTTCAGAAGATGTCATGGGATTTCAGTGACCCCACGTAATTAGGAGCCCTGCTGTGCACATAATTGGAAAGACAAAGGTTTATTTAAACTCATAATTATCTCTGATGTGGCCAATTTGTTTTAAAGAAAAAAAGAAGTAAAGACTCCTTTGAGTTATTTCCAAAGTAGCAGTAGGTTCATAATTAGCTGCTAAAGAGGTTGGTGAACAAAAGAATAAATTTCTAGTTTAAAATATCACTGAGTTATTTGATTTTAGCTTGAAGTTCATTGTTACTATTAAAAGTGACAGGAAAATATTAATTTAATTATTTGACTTATATATTAAAGATAAGCTACAAAATAATTGAGTGGTTCTTATTTTTAATTTTACAGATTCAACATAATTGATATGAGTGGAATACTATGAGCAGCATGATTTCAGCTGTCAGAAGTATTTGGAGGCAGTTGCTGAAGCCTCTTGTCAGCAGGGGGTCCATGGAAATTGATGTTAAGAGTACAGCAATCTATTACTGTATTTAAAATTTTCTAGTCAATAGGTTTCCTCTTTGCTCTTCCTTTCTCCGTTGATTTCTTAACCTGCTTTTCATACTTCATTTAGCATGTTTAAATAAAAAAAAGAGAAGTCAATGTGAATGTCTTTTAAACTGACACTATCCTAAGGCACTGAAGTCCCATGAATAAGTTTCTGTACTTGACATTTAGAAGTAATCATCACAGAGACAGCATAATGTCAGTTTGATATTTCTCACACTATGAAAATATCAGCTACATGTCAAATCTCTAAGTCTACCTTAATGTAATAATTTTTCTTGTATTCACAGACTACTGAAAATTCTAAACATTTAAATGTGGAATGAATGTCTACACTTAGTATTATCTATCCCTGTCTATATTTGTGTTACACAAACACACACACACACAAAAAAAAAAAAAACAGTGTATGATTTGCTAGAATAATATTATTTTTTCATGCAATTTTTCTAGATAGTCATTTCCCCAGAACCATCACGGGAAGGAATTTAAAACTTCTCACTACCGGCTGAAACCACTAACCCAAGAGGTAGTATTTTAACTATTTTGGGACAACAGTTATATTCACTTTCTCCTGAATAGTATAGAGACTTTAACACTCCACTCAAAGTCTAACATATTAAGTCCAAGCCCACTTGGATATAGAAATGAGGATACATGATTTTAAGAGTATCAAAGAGATTAAGTATTAGTATCACGTGGAAGAAGCTTAGGACCCTAAATGGAGTAGGCTATGGTAAGGAAAATTTTCATACAAGAAAAGTAAAAATATGAGAACTACTAAAAATAGAATACAAAAGAGACATTAAATGCCTATTTCCTAAATACACCTGAACTCTGAGAAACTGTGCTTCCATTTTTACTAGTTCTGTCTAAATGATTCCTGTATTTACTCATTTTACTAAGTGTTCTTGGGCACTCAATGACTGTTGACCTAGTTCTGTGAGCTGGGTGTTGAGATAAAGAGATGAAAGCAACAAGTTATTACGTTCAAGGACTTTAATCTTTCATCTAGATTAAAAAAATGCAGCAATTACAAGTTATTTTGCCAAGTTTAGGGCACAAGAACTGCCAATTTATCAGTATGAAGTTCAATGTCATGAACTAAGTGAAAGCAGTGGAATGAGGAACAGCATGTTCTCCCATACTTCCTAAAGGAAATATAATTTTGTAATACTCCAGAACAATTTCCAAAAATAAACAAAGACAGTATTGCTAATTGGTGTTAGTTCTTTTGTAATAGAGTATACAAGTTGCAAATTTATTTTTCACCATGATGTCAAAGTAAAAGCAAATTAATTCCATAAGAATTTGACACTGACTACTGTGATCATACCATTTTGTGGAAGAATCTGCCTCTACTATATCTAAGTAATCTGTACTTGCTCCAAAGTATTATTTGCTTTCTTCCCGTGTTTGATTCTTACACATGAGGAGTATCAAAACAGTCCTAGCTGGTTTTGTAGGGAATCATACACGTGACCAAGGTCCACGTTTCATTGCTTATAAAACAAAGTCTTATCATTCATGTTTTAGAGTTTGTCTAGTTAAAATAATGCCCAATACTTAATTTTGGTTACTACAGTAAGTGGATTCATTTTATTAATTATATTTTCCTACTGAATATTACTAATGTAGCCGGTGTTTATTAATCTGAGGTAGAGTTGAGGATTTTTTTTTTTAAACTGAGGATTGAACACAAGGACACTTAACTACTGAGTCATATCCTCAGTCCCTTTTTGGTTTTTGTTTTGAGACAGAGTCTTGCTAAGTTGCTCAGAGCCTCACTAAATTGTGGAAGCTGGCCTCAAATTTACAATCCTCCTGTCTCAACCTCCCTAACTGCTGGGATTACAGGTGTGTGCCACCAGACAGGCAGGATTAAGTGACTTTTTAAAGATCCTTTACTCCAAATCATAAAGGGCCTACAAATGAGTAGGCACTGCCCTTTTAGCAAGATATATTCTCAGTGGTTGAAAATGGAGACATATATGTATTTCAAAGAACTACAGCTATAGTTAGAAAATTTAAAAAAAAATAATTTCCTAAAAAGAGGAAAAGAAAATAGTAGGAGGAGGGAAGAAGTGACCCACCTCCTCCAAACATGCCACACCTGCCTACAATTGCCACCTAGAAGTCTCTTAATCCAATCATTTTCACCTCTAAATGTTCCTGCATTAACACAGGAGCTTTAGTGGGACACCTTATATTCTAACAATAACACTTCCCCTTGCACCTGTAAGGACACAGCAAAAAGGCACTGTCTTTGAGAAAAATGACTCTAACTATACCAGTGCCTTGATCTTGGACTTCCCAGCTTTGAGGCCTGTGAGAAATAATTTTCTGTTGTTTATCAATTACACAATCCAAGGTATTTTGTAATAGCAATTTGGATGGATTGAGCCACCACACAGATAATAGGAACAATAACTCTACCATCATTGCTACATTGATCAAGATGTCCAGAATAATGATACATGCTCCAAGTGGATCATACTCCAAGTGGAAAAGTTTTATGGCTTGCAAGCTGAGGCTTTCTGGGAAAATCAGGACAATTAGAGATTGATTGAATGAAGGGAAGGGCAAATGGCTTTGATGTTCATGTGGTTAGGGGGTGGTGCCTGGCTTAGAGTTCTGCACACCATTGAGATTTCGATGGCCTGTACACCTGCCCCCCCCAGCACCAAAAGAGTGAGCTCTCAGGCTTTCTTACTTTCCCAGCAGTTGGACGTGAAGGGAAAAAAGGAAGTGTGCAGCTTGAAAACTGTCGGGGTCCCTGTGTCAAACATGGAGTCTGATTTGCTCATTGTCTGTCTCCACTGGAATTTAAACTTCAAGGACTTAATCAATTTGGGTCACCTCTGTATCCTCCATATCTAAAACAGAGCAATGAAAATGGGAGATTCAAAAAATATTTGTTAATACAAATAAATTAATTGCAAAATTTATAAGTCCTTGATAAAATCACTTATTCAACAGAATTACAGAGCACCTACCATATGCTAGTCACTTGATGAGGTTTCAGGCATATAGCATGACGAACAGGACAAAGCCACTGCCCCCCAGGAGCTCAGAATCCACTCCAGGAGGACAAGAGTCCCTTTTGTGAGAGGGTGATGAAGGCCCTG